GCTTTGGTTTTTTGTTTTGTTATGTGTTTCAGTTTAAAGGAGAGGCTGGGAAAGTTAATCTGCTTTGTGCTACTGTCCCCACTTCTGCCACATTGCTTCCTGTGTCAGACAGGTAGACCTGCACAGGTGATCTTGTATGTGGATGTTAATGTTATGTGTTCTAATGAACTCAGGCAGGAATCCCTTGTGGCACCTTAAACAGTACCAAATTCTGTAATGGCATAAGTGTTGTGGGAGTGGGGGGTCAATCATGAGGTCAGGAGGAAAGGAAATGCATACAGCACTGACTGGCAATTGTGTCCTTATCACTGGCTACTTGCAGGAGTGGTTCACGACAAGTAAATGTTGGAAGGGCCTCTGTTCTTCCTTTGCATGTGCTTTATTTTGGTTAGTGCTTAAGGTGTGTCCTGCTTAATGCCATTGTTGTGGCCTGCCCAATGTGATTAATGGGGCCTGCCCCTACGTTTCAAGTTTGGAACCTATAATCTCAGCAACTCCTGACCTGGAATGCTTCTGACCTGGAAACCCCAGAAAGGATATCTTTTTCAGACTTTTCCTTCTCCTAGATGGGCCAGCTTCCCAAGTTGACCAGCCCCACCTGCCCCTCACCTCCCTCTACAGCAAGGGCAGAAATGGCCTTCTTGACCATTGGACCCACTATTGGTCTTATCTGCTCAATTTGATGTAGCCTGTCTTCATGCAGGGGAAGTCCCTATCACACCAAAGGTTTGAGACCATTGGCTACCATCATGTGGCTTAGCTGACCAGTCGAAGCTATATCCCGGGGCTTGGACACTGTCACATGCTGATAGCTTCTAGGAGCCACAGGTGAGTATGGGGTGGGACCAAAGGTGGACAAAATACCCCTGAAGGAGCATGACGTGTCTCTCACAAGAAGTACTAACCATTCCCTAACGCCCAAACTACTTAACTCATACTTTTCAAACTAATATGCAAACCCAAATCCTTAAGTGGGCACTTCACTGAATTTAGTGGTGTAGTTCTCCAAAAAAGGGTTAAAAATGCATATATTGGGGAAAGTGTTCACAAAATGCACATATTACTGCAAATAAACAAACTTTATCACCTTGGGGTAAATCCATTGCAAAAATCTGCATGTTACTCAAAACTGCATATAAAAATGTGTTTATTAGGAGAAATTTGCACTAAAATTCTGATAAATTTTCATGAGGATTTTTTAAAAAATACTTGTTTCAAATGTATTTTTTTTCCTCCTAGGGAAACTTTGCGATAAATCATGGAATACATGAATCACAGTATTGTGACTGAATTCATCCTTCTGGGCTTTATGGAACATCCAGAGCTGTGGACCATTCTCTTCCTGGCATTTATCTTGATCTACATTGTCACAGTGTCAGGAAATCTTGGCATCATCATCCTAACCATCTGTGATGCACACCTTCACACTCCCATGTACTTTTTCCTCAGCAACCTGTCCTTGGTTGATATTGTGTATTCCACTACTATCGCACCCAGGTTGCTGATGACCTTTGTAGCGAACAACAATGCTATTCCATTCACAGAGTGCACCATGCAATTCTTCTTTTTCTGTATGTTTGCCACAGTTGAGGCTTGCCTTCTAGCTGTTATGGCTTATGATCGCTTTACTGCCATTTGCAACCCATTACTCTATTTCGTTGCCATGTCTAAGAAGCTCTGTTTGCGCTTAGTAATTTGTGCATACATGTGTGGTTTTGTGAATTCAGCTATTCGTACTTCATTCATATTTAGCCTGTCCTTCTGTAGCTCAAATGTTATCAATCATTTCTTTTGTGACGCCACTCCCATCCTGAAACTTTCTTGTTCAAGCACACAGGTGGCTGACACTGTGCACTTTATCTTTGGTATTGTGGGAATCCTACCCACTTTGATGATTATCCTCATCTCCTATACCTACATCATTTTTGCCATCCTGCGGATTCGCTCTGCTCAGGGCAGACACAAAGCTTTTTCCACTTGTGCCTCTCACTTCATGGCTGTTACAATCTTCTATGGGACCATCATCTTTATGTATCTGAGGCCCAATTCCAGTGTCTCAAAGGATGAAGATAAATTTGTTTCAGTGTTCTATACCCTTGTGATCCCAATGCTAAATCCATTCATCTACAGTCTGAGAAATAAAGATGTGAAGAATGCTTTCCTAAGGATGACAGGGAATATTTCATTAAATTAAGTCAGTTCTTTTTCAAGATGAGTTTGAGTTTCCAATAAAGAATAACCAAGAAAGTGGGTATTTCTCTCTCTCTCTCTCTCTCTCTCTCTCTGTGTGTGTGTGTGTGTGTATTTCTGTGTCTAATTGTCTTGGTGTGTTGCTTTTTTTTGCCCATTCCACACTTAATAGTCAGTAGGTGGCATTAATAGTACATAGCATGGCTGGCTGGTATCTGTGTGTCTTGGGAGACAATGGATGAGTTTGTTCTCAGGGGTGATCTTCATTGATCTACAGTCTGAGAAATAAAGATGTGAAAGATGCTTTCAGAAGGATGAGAGTAAAGATTTCATTAAATGATGAGTTTGAGTTTGAATTTGAGTTTCAAATAGATAAAAATGTGGATTTGTTTTCTCTGAGTGGCTAGATGCATGTTTGTCTACCCCTACTGAGTGGCAGTTGTAGTCCATAGTGTGATAGGTTTGATAGGCTTGATTTAATGACTTTTGGTGGTTAGGTGCAGGAAGCAGGTTTAGCTTTAGTGATCTACTTAGGAGTTGGACACAAGGCTGGCTTTTTGGACTCTTTGGCCCAGGGGCTCCCCTCGGAGTTTACAGTTGATTTTTGCACTTACAGAAATTTCCTTCTGCATGTTTTGATTGGTTCAGTTTCAGAATCAATAAAGTGGCTTGAAAGCCAACCTAAAGTATCTGACTTTTTATTCAGCCATCAGGTCACAACAGCAGTACTCAGTGATCTAAATAATGGAACTGCTAGACTGTGAATGAATGGTCTTTGTCCTGCTCTATGTTACTCTCTTTTATTTATTTTAAAAATTATACCTCACCTTATTTATCAGATTAATTCACAGTGGCTCCCATCTAAAAAAGCCAATCTAAATAGTCCAAGCTGCTAAAATCTATTTTTGTACTCATTTTTAATAATCCGTTTACACCAACAAAAGGGTAAAATAAAGCCACACTAAAACTCAGCAGAGTGAAATGGTTATATCTGGTAATCTGAAGTTTAAAGTGGGGAGATCAGATGAATATCTTTCAGGAGGTTATTCTACAATCTGGGTGCTTTGAAAGAAAAGGCCATGTCTTGCATCCCAATCAGTTATGCTTCTCAACATGGTGAGACACATAAAAGAACACCTGAGCTTGATCACAATTGATGCACAGGATCGTGTGAATTGGCACTAATACAGTGGAATTTATTTTAGGCCAAAATAGGCAGGGCACCCTGTTGCCTGGTGGGGTAAGGACTAGAGGAGCTTCAACTGAGGGGCAGACTTCTGCCCATGTCATGCTCCTGTGGGGTTTCACAGGAAGAAGATCTCCCTCTGAGTTTTGGAAAAGAAGGTTGTTTACACAGATGCAAAAATGGCATAGGGCAGGATCAACATAGTAAAGGGGGCTCCTCATAAGGGTCAGAGGAGGGGGATTGGCCACGGCACCCCACGCTCAGACGTTGAATTCCTGGTTGGAATCCTCACCCTGATCAGCCAGCAAGATCTTGCAAGCTTTGCTTGCACCACTAGGTCCAACGCTATAGGCACATACCTCCACATTTGGTGGGAATGCTCTAAAATTCAACACTTTTGGACATCAGTCCTACAAGAAATCTGCAGAATAACAAAACAGGTATTAGAAGCAACCCTAGAACTGATCCTATTAAATATCTTCCAAGAGAACAATGCACACTCAGAACACAAAGAACTCATAAGACACTTTCCAATGATAAGTATTTTGGCACTGTTGGGTTGGCTTCAATGTTCATGAGTTTGGGAATAGCCAATGATACCCCTTTTTGAGGAGTGAGGTTATTACCCCTCTACTACTATCCATACTAGGTTGCTCATCCATTGCTACTGTGTCCTTTCTTCTGGCAAATCAAGATAATAAGGTGACAGCAAAAACTGCAATTTTTTTAGCAGGGGCAATTGGAATAAGATATTTTATTTGATTATTGATGTATACTTCCAGAACGTATTTTTTATAGTTAAGTATTTATCCCTGTCTTCAGTATATTCCATTTTATTTTATTGATATGGCTAGTGGCTGATGCAAATAAAGAGTCTTCTGATTCTACCATACTCTTTATCAATGAGCTTATTTGAAAACAAGGTAGAGAAAAATAACTAATGAGCATTGTGACCATATTGTGTGGGCTGAATGGAAAGCCAGTAGTCCTGTTTCAAACTAATTAAGGATGAACAGTGGGAACAAGAACAAATTCCCACACAGCATGTCCTCAGGCGATTATGCTGAGAGGTCCTACACAACATTTTAATGATACAGCTCTCATTCATATATTTCAGGGATTTGATTTCTAGGTAATACCAAAGCAAGTATAAAATGAGCAGTTCTATCTACGCATCTTGATTTGGAAGGCTTTAGAAATGACATCTATCATCTTCACAGGTAAAGTTACTTAGGCTATGTTGACTAACCTGATAAAATCTCAAAGTGCTTGTGAATTTTAATTTCTAACCTTCAGATTAATGAACAGCTTAGTTATCTGAAGGCAAATCAGTTGCACAGAAATTATTTTCATTTTCTGTTCACAGAAGCTGTATGGACTGGCTCTGTATGATGCTGCATGTTGTCTGTGACTGTTAAGAGACCAACAGATAAAGCAGATCTCATTAAACATGGACTGAAATTAATTAGCCAAGCAGTGTTTTCATGAGGCTTTGCAGCCAAATTTTAAACCTCAGCTCAGATAAAACATTTAAGTTTCAAGTTTAAGAGACTCGTCATATTAGTTGGCATTGAGGGAAGTGGGTTAATGCAATATCTCTGCATTTTTTCTGTTAAAGGGAAGAGATAGTTCAGTTGGTAGAGCATGAGATTCTTAATCTGAGGGTTGTTGGTTTAAGCCATATTGCAGGGGATTGGACTAGATGATCATTGTGATCCCATCCAGCTCCAAAATTCTCTGGTTCTATGTATTTGCAGCTTAAACATTGTAGGCATGTTCCTTTTTTATTCGCCACAGCAGCCTAACAAATGAATGGGAAGACACCCTTTCAGTAGGAAGAATAGCACAATTCTTCCCAGCTTTAAATTTCTGTTTACTCAAGTGGCACAGATGATGACATTAAAGTAAAAAGAATGAGAAAAAAGAAATCTGAAATTTTAGGAAGCCTAAAATTTGATGGATTTGGAAAGGCTAGATGGACTTTGCTGTAGTAGCGTACTACAAGGGCTGATTAAGGATGGTCTAAAAGATCAACTTTTTGTGAACAAAACAGCAGTTTGCAAAGGTTTATTTTTTAAAAAAAAACTGTGGGGAAATACATGTCAATTTTTGATGGTATTTTGCCTAACCAAGAAAAAAATTTACAGAATCCGAACACTTCCATTTATCATTATAAGCTGCTGGGGAAAGTGGGTACTATGTTTGCAGATATCCACTCCTGTCAAAACGCATAGCCATTTTAAAAAAATCCTAGTTAGTGAATGGGCAAAATGAATTAGGCTAAGACAATCCATTCAGTGCCACACCTTTCTAACCATTCTGTCTGTGCAAGCATTACAGCTTGTCAGATAAATTGACCCCTGTCTCTTTCCTCTGTGTACTGGTTACCCAACCCCCTTGAGTCAATTTCTGGGGTGTTGGGGGAAGGAGAGGGTGGAAAGTGTAAAGGTGTAAGTCTGTGTCTTCCTCTGACAAGGCTGGTTAGGTGAATCCTGCCTTTAATTTCTAATCTCAAATTGCATCTCGGAGAAAAGCAGTGGGAAAGTGGAGAGCAGACATAGGGTTCAACATCCCCTCTTGCCTTTCATTTGAAATTGCTCCCACCCCTGCTTTTTTGTGCCAATCTTTGACACAACCTGCATTCTTAGGTCATAAGTCTGTCCTGTACTGCCTTGTGGTTATATAACATTGAAACCTCAGCTCAGAGTTTGCAATATTATGCACATGTATTTGGGCATAAAATCTACTGATGTCAGAGTAGCTAATGCCTTAGTAAAACAAGATAACATGGGGTTGAAAATTTTCACCTTCCTTTAAAATATGGGAAAACTCTGCCCATGCTATATATTTTATTAATTATGATGAGAAGTCCTAAATTGTGAACAGTGAAAATAAGGAATGGGTGACAAACCTGCACTTATGCTAGGTCAAAATATTATCATCCACAGAAAACAGCATATAATAAAGATGACTATATAATAAAGTAAAGATGACTATCAGTGCATAACATCTGAGGTAGCCAATATGAATGGCACATTATGAATTATGAGTGAAATGACCATGGCTTCCATTGGTTTGGCTCAGAAATAAATTAGACACACACACACACACACACACACACACACACACACACACACAAAATGGGGAAAAGGAGACTGAACATTTATGTGCCAATCTTTTTTTTTTCCTGACCCTCATTAGTTAAGAGAACTCTCCTGGCCATTTGCCATTAGTAGGCTGTGGAGAAGACTCCGAACATCCACAGAGGACCCTTGGGACAAGAGCAAGGGAAGAATTCCTGGTAGCTAATACTATTTCAACTTTTTTTTCATATTTTTATTTACACAGGAGAATGCAACTTGTGACAATGTCAGAAGGAAACTTCACCACAATTACTGAATTTGTTTTGCTGGGATTCACAGATAATCGGAGTATGCAGTTTCTTCTCTTCATAGTGTTCTTACTGGTTTATTTGCTCATCTTGGTGGGGAACGTTGGCATGGTGACATTAATCAGGATTGACTCCAGGCTTCACACTCCCATGTACTTTTTCCTGAGCAACCTATCAATCTTAGATATTGGTTACTCCACTGTCATCGCTCCCAGGACACTGATGACACTGGTAGCAAAAAGCAAAACCATTTCCTTCACTGGCTGTGCCCTGCAGTTTTTCTTCTTCTGCATTGCTGTATCCTGTGAATGCTTCCTGCTGGGTGCAATGGCATATGACCGCTTCATCGCTATCTGCAATCCATTGTTGTATACTGCCATCATGTCCAAAAAGTTCTGTTATCTGCTCGTGGCTGTTTCGTATCTAACAAGTTGTGTGAATGCAGCGGTCCAGACTTCATTTATCTTTACTTTGTCCTTTTGCAGATCCAACATCATCAACCATTTTTTCTGTGATGTACCCCCTATCCTAAGGCTCTCGTGTTCAGATACAGGAGTCATTGATATAATTCATTTTAGCTTCTCCACAGCAATCGCATTAGTAACGATCCTGACCATACTGATCTCTTACATATACATACTTGTTGCCGTCCTTCGGATGAACTCAGCTGAGGGCAGACGTAAAGCCTTCTCTACCTGTGCCTCCCACCTTACAGCTCTCACTATATTCTATGGGACAGCTGTTTTCATGTACTCACGGCCCAATTCAAAATATTCTGTGGAGCAGGACAAAATAATCTCTGTGTTTTATACCCTTGTAATACCGATGTTGAATCCACTCATCTACAGTCTGAGAAATAAGGAGGTCAAAGAGGCTTTCAAAAGGCTGCTTGGGGAAAAGGCTATCACTCAGAGCCATTGAACTTCATGTTAAGAGGCCTTATTTCATCCTTAACTGCAATGTCCATATGATTAATTTTTGTCTACATTTTGGGTTTGGTCCTGACTACTTACCTTAAGGTAAGTCACTTTGAACTCTAAGAGTCTTTTTTCTGCATAGAGATGTATGTGATTGCTCTGTTCATTAACTGAATTTCTGTCCCACTGAAATGGATGAAAAAGGTCGTAACTCAGTTCCCTTTAAAATGAATTGGAAAATTAACTGGAAAATTAACATGAACTTTACTGTATGTTACACCATCAAAGAAAATATTATGAAAATGCAGTTTTGGTTGTACCTTACACCATCAAAAATCTCCAAAATGTAAAAAAATAGTTTGAATAAGTGTTGGAAGTGTGGAGAAAAAATAGGAGATTTTTATCATATGTGGTGGACGTGCAGAAAAGTCCAAGATTTTTGGAATATTGTTTATGATGAGATGAAAAAAAATGTTCAAATTAACATTTTTAAAGAAACCAGAAGCCTTTCTGTTAGGAATCTTAGGTAGAGACATTCCGAAACATACAAGAGAAATCTTTTTATATGCAACAACGGCTGCCAGTCTATTGATTGCATCTAATTGGAAAGGGGAAAAGATACCAACGCTAACAGAATGGCAAAATAAATTATTAGACTATGTGGAAATGGCTCAATTAACAAATAGGTTAAGAGGTAACACCAAACAATTATTTTCTCAAAAATGGGAAATGCTTAAGAGATACTTAAAAAATAATAACAGCGACATATTATATATGGTAGAGTTTGAATGACCCTTGTGTACATAAAATATTAAGAAATAAAGGAAAATCAGTATGCAAGGTTGTAAGAAAGTATTAGAACGTATATTAAATGTAAGGTAATAATTATAAGTACATTCAAAATCACAAATGTCAACTATATCGGGAAATGATGGGAAGGCTATATTTATTTTACTTTAGTCTGTTGTTGTCGTTTTACTTTATTTTATGTACCATTATATGATTTTAGCTTAGCTGATATCTAAGTGGAATTAGAAGGTTAAGTTAACATTCTAAGTTAAACTAATTTAAGAATATATATAATATATATTCTTAAACACATACACATATAATATATATATATATATATATATATATATAGTATGTATGTGTATGTGTGTATGTGTGTATGTGTGAAGTTAAATCTGTAATGACATTGTTGTTGTTGTTGTTTAGTCGTTTAGTCGTGTCCGGCTCTTTGTGACCCCATGGACCAGAGCACGCCAGGCACTCCTGTCTTCCACTGCCTCCCGCAGTTTGGTCAGAGTAATGACATTAATGAATTCCAATAAAGAATTTTTTCATATAAAATAAAATGAATTGGACTTAAACATAACTAATTTAGGCTGAATGCAGCTTATTGATTTCAAGCAGTAGTGTGAGGATTGTCTGTTCTCCATCAGAAAGAGAGAGAGTGAGGACTGGGCACTGCACTGAATAGCAACAGAGTTTGCTATTAGACATGTAACTGATTTAAATACTAGACACATGCCTGTTTACTCCCAATTATGGCTGTTTTTAGATGCCATAAAACATGGGAGATGTGAAATGAAAGGGGCCCTTCAAGCACAAACAGGTCTATCTAGAGGACTGGCAGAGGTAGAGTATAGGCCTTACACTGCTACAGGGGTGCAGAATCTGCAGCCTTCCAGATGTTGCTGGATTATCTCTCCCATCATCCCAGCCATTCTGGAGTCCAACAACTTCTGGAAAGTCATAGGTTCCCATCGCTTCTCTTCTAGATGACTTAACTTCCTTGCACAGGTATCATGGAGAAGCACATGTTTCACACATTGGCCAGTGTATCATTCTGTACATTCTAATTGTCAAAATCAGTTATTTGTGACCAGGTTCCCTCACAATCTCTTTGGAAAAGTCATTACAATATGGCCAGTCTCTTTTCCAATTGAATCTTTTTTTCCCTGGTTTGCCACCACCAGTTGAGACCCTAATATACGTGAAGTTAGATTCCCCCCCCCCCCGAATGTGTCTCATTTTAAACTCACTTACATTGAATTTCATTTCCATTTTGACATTCAAATATGGAGAGATTCTTTTAGAGCACCTCACAATCCCTTTTTGGAATACTATTCTACTGAGATGCAGGGGCGTAGCTAGCTGCTGTGGCACCCAGAGCAGTGGGGGCGGGGCGATCTGCCCACAGGGGCAGGGTGATCTGCTCACGGGGGCGCCACAGTGATCTGCCCGGGGGTGCCGCAATGAGCTGCCCACAGAGTCCGCCTGGTGGATGCAAGCCCCATGCTGCCATTTCAGGCAGTGCGGGGGCCTGAGTCACTCCCAGGAGAGACGTGTGGCTCTGGCACGCTACAGGCCAGGCTCTGCGGTAAGTGCCACCCCCCCCCCATGGTGTGCCATTTTGTCACCCCCTCAGGGATGACACCCGGGGCGGACCGCACCCCCCGCACCCCCATTCCTACGCCTCTGCCGAGATGATCACCCTGAAGGGGTGGAAGCTAACATACATTTCATATTTGGCCACCTCAAGGGAACAAAGAAAGGAACTGCCCTCAGAGCCTTTTGTCTACTCCATGCTGATCCACAGGGGTGGGTTGGAGCAGCCAGTTGTGCCCTTGATGTGCTGTATATTGAGCACTGGCGCCAGCTCCAGTGGGCCCTGGGAGCTTGGGCACCCACATTTTTTTGCTATGGGTGCCTGACCTCCGCCACATGCCACCGCCGCTTGCCGCCCCAGAAGGTGACAAATTGCTCCACCTACTCATTAGACTTTGAGGTAGTTAGGGATCCTTTTGCTATTAAGATGAACATGAATGATTTGCTGCCTGGTTGTGTTAAGTATGTGTGTAATCAAGGTGTCTGAAGCAACACATATATGCGCTGTCTTTTTCATTCCATGTAATAAACCAAGCTTTCTTTATTCTGCTGGTGTGCTATCTTTCTTATTGGGCATGAAATTAAGAATAGACACACAGAGTAGAAACACACATATTAACACCAACAAAGATCCTTAACCTATCGGGTGTGTGTAGAGTATATAGGGAACACAAGGGTGGTGGACACAAAATGGGGCTTCAGTTGCACACTTTGTAGCATAGACTTTATTGAGAGGGAACGGTTCTCTTTGAAACTAATTAAAGATGAATAGTGGAAAGAACCACAAATTCCCAAATAGCAGGTCCTCAGGAGAGAGGCCATAGAGAGCATACAGAGAGGCCATAGAGAGCATTTTAATGATATGAGCTTCACTCATGTGATTCATGGATTTGGTTTCTAGCTTATACAAGGCTATAAAATGAGTGCTCCTTATTCTAAGCATGTCATATTTGCCACAGAGCACTTTTTTTTTAATGCAGTTGGTAAACTCCTGCTCCATAAAACAAAGGCAATGTTTCCCAGGCAGCTGCAGGTTTGTGGCTTGTGGGTGCTGTGGGAATGACACGTGCCAGACAAGTGTTTGGTTAAATAAAGCTACAACTTTATTGATTATACAGCAGGTAAGTGGGGTTGGCATGGCAGTAGTGTGAGGATTGACTCTTCATTCCCATCAGCCCTTGGCAATGGAATGGCATTCTGTTTGAATAGTTGGCAGGTATCCAACACCTCCCATGGGAGTTGACCAGTGTTGGACCCTGGCATGGGACAGGTCAGACACCCAGAATCTCCCTGAAACAGATACTTTCCCACCCTTTGTGGTGTGTGAAGGAGCCAACAGAGAGAACAGGTCATTTGCAGAACAGAGAAAGATAGTGACATGCCAGCTAACTTGCAGTTAGTTTCTTTATTAAGAAAGCAGAAAAGAGAACACACAGAGAATTCTAAGGGTGGCTCCTGTCAGGCAGCTTCCACAACTCCTCCTCATCCAGCCAGTCCCTGACATGGTGCCTCAGTAATGCAGACATCATATAAAAAGAGAGAAATGTATGCTGCAAGCAAAAGTAGTATTTGTGTAAGGAGGCCAGATATAATGAAGTAACACACATTGTTTGGAGTAAACTAGGATCACCTTATGAAAAATAATGTTAGAACACAATGAACTTATGGAACTGGAGAAAGCCCTGTGCAGGAAATATCCCCAAACTCTATCATGCTCCTATGGCTGTTTACTGGGTGACCCTACCCTGAAGGAAGTAAAATTTATGAGCTAAATGGATCAGCCTGCAAAGCACCTCATTACAAAAAAATTGATGTGCCCCCATTTGATAATGAGAGCACTCCTAGTGACTTTACATAAGCAGGCTGCTTCCTGGGGGAGAAGACTCCAAACCTCTACATTTGACCTGCCCCCCTCATGTGGTAACTAGATAAACTCTAGTCATTTGACATAAGGAAACTGTCCAGAAGGAAAGCACAGGTCAGGAAGAGTCCCAACAAAGAGAGAGATCCCATGGTGCAAGAACCACATAATTTCATTGTACTCCCCTCTTCTTTGGGGAACAATAATTTCTGAAGCTTATAGCAGGGATGATTTGTTCAGAGGAGGAAGTGTTCAACAGTTCCTTACCATTCCCCTCCATTTTAAAGCAAGGCCACCTGAAAATGCTTTTGGTTCTTGTTTTTAACAAGACAGTGGACAAGTTAATATGTGCAACATCTAGTGTTGAGCTAAGAGTATTTAAACGTTGTCGCTTCTTCTTTTTATTTTCAGAAGAGAGCACACCTTAGTAAAATGTCAAAAGGAAACTTCACCGCAATTACTGAGTTTGTTTTGCTGGGATTCACAGATAACCAGAATCTGCAGGTTCTTCTCTTCACTGTGTTCTTTCTGATTTACTTGGTGATCTTAGTGGGGAACATTGGCATGGTAACATTAATCACAATTGACTCCCGGCTCCACACTCCCATGTATTTTTTTCTGAGCCACCTGTCAATGTTAGATATCGGTTACTCCACTGTCATCGCTCCCATGACACTGATGACCTTCGTAGCAGAAAGCAAAACAGTTCCCTTCACTGGCTGTGCCCTGCAGTTTTTCTTCTTCTGCATTGCTGTATCCTGTGAGTGCTGCCTGCTGGGTGCGATGGCATACGATCGCTTCATTGCAATCTGCAACCCACTGTTGTATACTGCTCTCATGTCCAAAAAGCTCTGTTATTTGCTTGTGGCTGGTTCCTATCTAACAGGTTGTGTGAATGCAGCGGTCCAGACTTCATTTATATTTACTTTGTCCTTTTGTAGATCCAACATCATCAACCATTTCTTCTGTGATGTGGTCCCTATTCTAAGGCTCTCCTGTTCAGATACAAGCGTCATTGATATGATTCATTTTAGCTTCTCAACAGCAGTTGTATCAATACCTATCCTGGGTATTCTGGTGTCTTACAGTTACATACTTGTCACCATCCTTCGGATCAGCTCAGCCGAGGGCAGACGAAAAGCCTTCTCCACCTGTGCCTCCCACCTTACAGCTGTCACCATTTTCTATGGCACAGTTGCTTTCATGTACTTACGGCCCAGTTCAAAATATTCTGTGGAACAGGACAAAATCATCTCTGTCTTTTACACCCTTGCAATACCTATGCTGAATCCACTCATCTACAGCCTGAGAAACAAGGAGGTAAAAGAGGCTTTCAAAAGGATGGTTGGGGGAAAGATTATCTCTCAGAGGCGATAAGCTTCATTATCAAAATCCTGGTTCTGTATCTTATTGTACCCTTTATCTCATTTTCCATTTTTAATTTTTATCTCTATAATGGGTTACATTTACACTTAGTCTACAATCCTTTACGTACTCCCATTTCTGAGTATGGGATTGTTCCATTTTTTATGTGTAGTTAGGTTCCATTGAAGTTTGACTTGGGCCCTCTCGATTTTTATTGGAATGAGGTACAACAAATTCTGCCTGTTTCCAAGCAAAGTATTACAATTTGAGGTTTACAAGCTATTGATTTACTGAAGCACCAAGGAATTCTAATGCCTGTTTTCTGTCAGCAAGGGAAAGAATGAGAACTGAGCACCATTCCATTGAATGATAACAGAGAGTATACTATTTAACCTGTAGCGGATGAAAATCCCTGGCTTTCCAGATGTTGCTGGATTACACTTCCCATTATCCAAGACCATTGTTCATTCTGGTGTCCAGGAACATATGGAGGGCCACAGGTTCCCATGCCTGCTCTAGTGGATGCTGGAAGCTTCTGACACGGGTATGATGA